AGGTTTCAAAATTTCAGAGGAATTGGTTATCAAAAATATAATATATTGTCAAAGATGTGATGTTACAAATGAGATGTTATAAAATTGGTTATTTTTATATAATTGTTAAACAAAATACCTAAACGTTTAGTCACCGGTTGAAGAAGAGAACAAGGTGAGACGATCGGGAAAAATCCAATGAATGTTGAAGGGCAACAGCTACCAGTTTATGCTGTATAAATCTCCTCAAATACATCCATACTCACTGGAAGAAAAGAGTAGATAACCAAAGGGAAACGACCAGTGTTCACATCCATTATGTCCTAGGCGTTTAGAAAAGATCAGTAACGTGTTTACAGTCAGAGTATCAACACATATGATGAGCCCTTCAACACTATCAAATCATAGTAAGTGCATCCTAAAGACCCCACACTTACGGAGAAGTGGTACTATCGTACATGATGTATTGTAACCCCTGTGGGTTGGGGGATCGAGAAAAGAATACATCTGCTGTTACCCACTGCATGTATCGTAAAAGGCGACTAAACTTTTGCCTTTAATGTAGAACGTTCGCCCAGGTGGGGAAGGCAGTGGGTTCTATCCCAAAGGCGGGACATACCAAAGTCCTTAAAATGGTAGTTGTTATTCCCTGCTTAACGTGCAGCATTTAGTGTAATGGCAACGACTGGTTCACCCATTGTCAGTAAAATGTGAAATAGCTCTATGAAGTCGGCATCAGATCCGCGTTATCACAAGGAGGCAAATACACTAAAATACCCTACCTCAAGCACACATAAACACATACACACACGCACGGATACACAACACACATGGAGTCAAGTCCTTCAATGACATTAGCGGTTAAAAAGGATGTTAAACAAAATAGAACCAAACCAAACACGATTCATTGTAATGACTACGGCAAATATTAAATGAAGGAGACCAGCAATAACTTACAACACCAGGTGCACATGAGACCAACACGAAAGCATTGATCAAAGCAGTTGGAAAACATATAAAACCCCTCGGGCACACAGCTGACATCGGAACACCGAAAAGCGACAAGGAACAGGACAACAACAAAGGAGAATATGAAGCAACTGAAATTCGTTGTCCAGTCTCCACAATTAACGGAGACTGCGTCTATGTACTCTAAGGCGATTTACAGGGTCACAAAAAATACACCTGGATCGGGGTCGAAATCCTGTGATATCTAGGCTACTAGACCATTATAGGTGATGTATTACCAATTCGATATTATAGGGTCAAGTTAACACAATTTTACCAGTTCAATATAAAATACAAGTTAGAGAAAAAAAGTCTATTGAAATTCTTATGCCGTCTGGCCTGGAGCCAAAGGCTATTATGATAACAATAAATCCGTAAATTATAAATATAAATATTGTGTAAATATATATGTATACCTAGTATATAAAGACCCCACACTGAAGAATCCCTAGAAGGCAGAAAGGCCTAGCGGACGATCTGAAAGATTTATGTTTTTATTCTATATATACCTATATTTATATAATTAAAAAAAAGACAAGAGTTTCCTCGACTTTTCTAGCGATTTCTCCTCTTTAGAAGTTCATATGATACAATCATACTTTAATAACGATCTAGAAAGCTCCCGAACAAGTGCTTAGCGTATTTTAAACTGGCATTTCATTGTAAGGTCTTTATTTTTTCATTTTTCATTTCAAAATATTTTATTAAATCAAATGATTTAATGGGAATTGGACAACAGGCTAGCCTATACAAGCCCTCTCCCTTTGGTTACATACATTTCAAACAATACTTTACAACTTTACAGCCATGGAGGCTACATGTACACTCTCTACGTACTATGAATAGATGCATGTTGGACATTTTATATTGACTTCGTTCGATTTCAGCAGCACAGGTGAGCCAGGTGGGTAACACATATGGAGATTTGGGAGAGATATGATTGTGGCACTTGACATGTTGCAACGTTTATATTAAATACTATATGTCTCTGGTCTGGTGGTGAGTATACTATTACAAGTAAAACAAGAGGCCGAGAGGGCCTGTATCGCTCACCTGGGAATATGCCAGACCCCATGGCCAATCCTTGTAGCATATCTGTATTAAATTGTTCATGCCCAGCAATTTTATGTATGGTTATGGGGTGGGAATCTCAACTGCTTCCAAGCTGTGACTCAGAAACTAGGTCCATAGGTTGTGGCCAGACCCCAGGATCAATTCTAATATCATGACTGCATTCGTCTCTTTTTGCCCAGCATTTGTATATATAGTTTTGGGGAGGGGATCTCAACCAAGGGACTATGTCTCCAAGGGTGGAGCCAGACCCTAGGGCCATCCTGGAAGCAACTGTGCATTCTTCTCTTTATACTCAGCAATTGTATATATGGTTATACGGTGGGGATTTCAACCATTTCAAAGTAATAAACTTTTTTTGGCCCCGCCCCTTAGCCCGGGGGGTCAGCAACAAAATTTGTACAATTTTGAATCCCTACCCCCTATGAATGCTTCCGACCAAATATGGTCGATATCCATGGCACAGTTCTACAGAAGAAGTCGTTTATAGCAATATAGCCAAATTGCCACCTTTTGGCCCCAGCCTCAGCCCTCTGGGGGTCAGCTCCACCATTTGTACAATTTTGAATCCCCACCACCGAAGGATACTTCGAGTCAAATATGGTTGATATCCATCTCTTAGTTCCAGAGAAGAAGTCGCTTAAAGCAATATAGCGAAATTGATTGCTATTGGCCCTTCCTCTCAGCCCTCTGCGGGGTCAGCCCCACCATTTGTACAATTTTATATCCACACCACTTAGGGATGCTTCCAGTAAAATATGGTTGATATCTATCCCTTAGTTCTAGAGAAGAAGTCGCTTAAAGCAATATAGCCAAATTGCCCCCTTTTAGCCCCGCCTATCAGCCCCCTAGGGGGTCAGCCCTACCATTTATACAATTGTGAATCCACACCACCTGGGGATGCTTCCAGTCAAATATGGTTGATAATCATCTCTTAGTTCCAGAGCAGAAGTCGCTTAAAGCAATATAGCCAAATTGACCCCTGTTGGCCTCGCCCCTCAGCCCCCTGGGGGTCAGCCCCAACATTTGTACAATTTTGAATCCCCACCTCCTAGGGATGCTTCCAGTCAAATATGGTTGATATACATCTCTTGGTTCCAGAGAAGAAGTCGCTTAAAGCAATATAGCCAAATTGCCCCCTTTTGGCCCCGCCACTCAGCCCCCTGGAGAGTCAGCTCCACCAGTTGTACAATTTTAAATCCTTACCACCTAGGGATACTTCCAGTCAAACTTAGTCATATTCCAATCAGTGGTTAAGAAGAAGAAGTCGTTCAAAGAAATTGTTGACGTACAGACGACGGACGACGGACGGACGACGGACGCCACGGTATCGCATAAGCTCACCTTGGTCCTTCGGACCAGGTGAGCTAATAATGTATAAGGTACATATACAAATTACGGCATACATTTTACTCAATGTAACCTTATAGCTACATGTATGTACTGGTATATGCATTACAAAGTATGGATATAGTGTAATAGCCATATTAGACATTACACATGCTCATTAGTAACAGAACAATCCAATCCAATGCATACATATATCATTATTCGATATTATAGGATCAAGTTAACACAATTGTATCAGTTCAATATAAAATATAAACTAGAGAAAAACAGTCTATTGAAATTCTTATGCCGTCTGGCCTGAATATATATATATATATATAATATCTCTCGTTGACTCACTTTATGTGATAGTGCATCTTGCGCAAGAATAGGTCCTCTACATCAGCGTTCCTTGTCCGCGATGCTCTCAGTTTAATTGCTGCCTTCGGCTGTCTTTAGCCGAGAGGACTATTGGTTTTATATAAAAGCTATATTTTCAATTATAGTATAGCAGTTCTATCTCCTTGTAATATGATGTATATGTACATGTAACTGTTCTGTTTCACTGTGTCTTGATAAAGGAGCGGATCGCTCCGAAAATTTGACAACCTTAACTTGTCCACATTGTTAGAATTACTTCTTTGCCCCATATATATATAATATGATACACATCAACGTTTGTAATCTTAATAGCACATTTATGTATGCAGTCTTGTAGCTGCACATATGTATTAAACTATTGATAGGGTGTAGTAACCATACTAATCTTTAAATATTGTAATACAACATTGATAGAAATTTGATTGAAATGATAACACTCCGTTCTACAATATAGTATTTTAACAACCAGTATACCTGTGCACGAGCTTGCAGTAGACGGAAAACTAATTACACTGTGCCTCTTGAATAAGTATGTGGGAATGGTATTATATAAATGTCAACAGATTAAACGTATAAAGCCAAACAAAACGCCCAACTGTATCTAGGTAGAGATAAAGACTTCTTTACTGATTGAGCCAGTACAAAATTGCTTGTTTGTTTGTTGTGCCCCTCCACTGGAGGGATCGCATTGAAAGGTTCTTGTATATCACTTTCAACTAACCGAAAATGCTATATTGTTTTTTGTTTTGTTTTTGGTTTTTTCGCAGTAATAATAATAATATCATAATAATAATTCGAGGTTCTTATATACCGCTTTATCACAACCTAGTTCGTAGGTCGTCTCAAAGCGGTTCACAAATTACTATCCGTGGTTATAGGGCCTTTGCAACCAGCCAATACCTTTCTCAACTCCCTGGGGAGCATACAGCCGGAGCGGCCATTTCGGCGCTAACAGCTAGCATTTAACAATTCTATCTCTGCAGTAATCAGTATTTGCTCAATATGCCTATTATATGGTTGTTCGGTAGAAAGCGTTAAACATTTCTCGATACAGTAGCAAATCGTGACTTTTGAAATATTTATTAAACAAATTAGCATATGAGCATGCGTGCGGTTATTATTTAGCATACATATTAACATGTACAGTTCTTATTTCTTATATTATATTTCTGAATAGTTGGTACTTAGCACTGAGCCATTTCATCATCGTACTTTATTATATATAGTATATATTTTTATTATTGCTTTGTATTTTTTTAGTTCCATGATTGATTTTCCCCAAGCTCAGTGATTCTTATTTAAGGACATCTATTATCTACGCTCAACTCGTATACCTCATTCAATCTCTTTCTCACTAACCGTAATAAACCACATTATTACTCTTTATCTGGACATTTTTTTTCATTCTCTTCCACTCTCTAAAGTTTCGATAAGGCATGTTTAACCGTAATTTCCCTTTTGGACGTAGATGTTAACTTTCAAACCATCATTTTTTGCGTCACTTGTATAACAACTTGATGGAACGTGGATCAGAGGCTCTAAGTTTCCCTGCATGGACAATTCTGGGGCGGTTGGTTCAGCGGGTTGTTCGTTGATTGGAGGGTACATTGTTTCTTAAATATAGATAATGAAATATCTTCATATTAAAAACAATATATATGTATCGTACTGTAAACTATATTTCAGGCGTTGTTTATATATACAAACTATAGCTGTACCAGTTTTTTTATGAAGAACATTGATTTTGTAGCGGGCTTCGTGATAATGTATTCTCTAATACCATTACAATACGTCTCCGGCACACAAGTTGGCATACACACATAGGGAGATATTAGCTAGGTGGCATATGACTAATAGTAAGCGCCTCAAATTTGTACTGATTACTGTATATGCTAATTGTATCGATTGTATAAACCTACGTGTACTGTACAGCGCTTTAGAGTGGCTTATTCTAGCTATTTATCAGGACACATATCCATGAAAAGTAAAGTTTTGTAAATGACACTTTTTTACCATTTAGTAAAGCCCGCAATTAAATCCCCAAAATGAAATGCGATTTCTCTCTAAGTTGGTGTGAGGGTGTTCTATGGCCTGCTTAAGCTTCCCTGACATCCATTAATTTGTTTGGACAAAATGGCCTCAATAAACTAGCTTCTGATTTGTCGAAATGTAGATATTGTCAGATTTCGCTCAAATTCGGTATGTAGGTGTTTTAACGTTCTACGAAATTTACTGCAGAGTCGGTTAACTGATTGGACAAAATGACCTCTGACTAGTAGAAAGGACTTGGGGCGTCATGGGTCATTTTACGCCTGATAAAAGTGAAAAATTTATCTTGAATTTATTTGCCAATTACTGTTATAAAGTAAAACATCATATTGGTCAATTGTGGCCATATTTCTTGGTGTAGATTTCCAATGCACATGCGTAGATGCCTTACCATGGCAACGCAGTTTGCAGAATTAGCTAAAATATGGTGTTTTGGACTGGTATAACAATGTTTAAGCATGTCAAATTTTTATTTTTCTGTTGCGGAGGCTTTCGAAAATTGAAGTGCGTTTAGTTAATTTCCTTCAAAATGGCCAATTTTCAACAAAATAGCGCACAACAGACGATGTTCACGCATTTTATCATGACAAATCGCGTTTATTTCTCTTTTTGTAATGCCATATCTTCTAAACCAGTTGTCGAAGGAATTCGAAATTTCATATTTGCGTACTTTATTTAATCCAGACTACGTATATAACAACTAATTATATATATCCAATGAAGCTTTTGATTGGATGAGACATATTAACTTTAAACTATTTTTTTATTTCATAAATTGTAACGAATATTGGTGACAGTAATGTTCACGTGACACTGATTTAGTAGAACGAAACAAGCGTTCTTCAACAAAATGGCTAACAAAAACAATTTAACTGGCTTCTGATTGATTGAAATTCAAATACTGTTCGCTTTGCCCCAATTTGGTTTGTCGGTTCATCATCGCTATGCAATCTATATCGAGACTTCTGTTAAGTCATTGTGCGAAATGACCATCAGTCAGGGGCTTCTGATTGGACGAAATGTTCGATTTTGCTCATATTTAGTATGTCAGTGTATAATGACACTGCAACTACTAACGTGACTTCCGGTTCGTCATCGACAACATGGGGGCAGATCTATATTATAGAACCCGTTTCGCATATATTGGCTAAGTTTGTTATGAATACAAATAGGAATTGAAAACTTATTTTGCGAAAACGTCTGTTTCCTTTGACAAGCAAAGAGTTTAAATGACCGGTCATTGTTTTGCATATATTTGGTTTTGCGCTTGTTTTTCAAACAACAATTTGGAAAGATACTAGTTTGCGAATGGAGTAATCATGTACACTTTAATTTATCTGGTGTATATGTATTTTAATGTGTGTTTCAAATTCATTCTCTTCATTAAACATTAGCGAAAATATTAAAATATTAACGAAAAACATAAATGAAAAAATAACAGTTGGTGCCGCGCTCCCCTTCCCTCTGAATGGAGTGGTCAAATCGTCAGTTTAAAGCATTAAAGATAAATATCATTCTTAAAGAAAAGTCGGTGATTTCATTTATATCAATCTATCCAATTTTTTTTTTAACTCGAGCCATTATTCCACCTTCGTTTAGGTCCGAACCACAAAGTAGACTAATCCTTGCTTTGCTGAAATATGACAGAAGAATAATGTAGTAAAATGATATGCTCCTCTTGAAAATAAAGATATAATTATAATTTACCTGGTTGTTCCTCGTCGTCAATAGGTGTAGACGTTTTTGCAGCTGTAAATAAACAAATTTTCGTTTAAAATGATGAGATTTACCAATTAAATACTGACAATTAGCAAGTTTAATTCATTCTCCAAGAGTAAAGCAATACACAATTGTTGAAATTGGATTTGGAAACAAGTTTTACAACTTACGTAGATCCATCTCCAGTGGAAGAAATACATATGCGATCTGAGGACCACATGTTTTATGACTATAATATTTGAGAACGAAATATGCAGCGATGCGTTAAGTATATGAGTAAAAACGGAAAAATAGGGGAGGATAGGAAAGGAAAGAGGGGAGAGAGAATTGCTCAGATTAACCCTGTATTAATTGATTGTAAACAGTTAATGCATTTTCTTCATCTGACAACTCATCATCACCAAACAGCAGTAATTTACTTGCAATTGGACGATTATTTATCTCTGTAAAGACACGTACACGGAGTTGTGACAACAGGCTGCAGTGTAACAGATAATGTTCATTTGTCTCGGTATCTCCATAAATGAACACGAAGGACTATCATAAGGTTTCTACGATACAAGTAAAATGTTAGGGAACTGCATTCCATTCTAAGTCTAGCTTGGTGAATCTGGCCCAGCCTACTACCGATCAAGATCATTAACGGAAGGCAAGAAAGACTTCCTGTAAAGACTAGTACGACATAAGATAGGACAAAAATTGTTGCCTTCACGGGTATTGTAGTCGTGAATGCTGTTGTTACGCCGAGGGAGAGTATTTCTAGGTATTTCGGGACGAGACCATGGACCATTTTATGAAAGTGGATTATCTTCTGATATGTACGCCTTTGCTCGAGAGGAAGCAAGCCCGTTTCAAGGTAAAGCTTAACTCTACTGGTGAGCCTAGTACCACCAGTTACTATACGTGCTACTTCCAGTTGGCGGTTTTCTAATAAGTCGGACTAGAATGAAAGAGGCTATTAATGGTCATTAATAACTGTTGAACTTTATTAAGGAATATTTTGACTTTCAAATGTAACGAATGTGTTCAGTAAAATATTGAAGTTAATTAAATAATGAAATATAAAAGTAAAATTCATTCTTTACCTGGCTGCTCATAATCGTCAATAAGTATTGATTTTTCGGCAACTGTAAATAGACAAATTATCTGTCACAAATAACGAAATTGAGCAGGTGCACAATGCCGATAATTTGAAATGTTGACTCCATGGGAAATGTACTCGAATGTAAAAAGTGGATAAACAAAGTTGTTTGAAATAAGGATGGAACATATTTATTTATCAGAGGAATGATATTTGATAGTTTACAGTAGTTTAAAACATTATTAAAACTCTCACACAAAAGTACACCTAATAGCAAAACAAGTACACCTTATAGCAAAACAGTACACCTAATAGCAAAAAGAGTACACCTTATAGCAAAAACAGTACACCTAATATCAAAAACAATGCACCTTATAGCAAAAACAGTACACCTAATATCAAAAACAATACACCTTATAGCAAAAACAGTACACCTAATATCAAAGACAGTACACCTTACAGCAAAAACAGTACACCTAATATTAAAAACAATACACCTAATAGTAAAATCAGTACACCTTATAGCAAAAACAGTACACCTTATAGCAAAAACAGTACACCTAATAGCAAAAACAGTACACCTAATAGCAAAAACAATACACCTTATAACAAAAAAAGTGCATCTAATATCAAAAACAATACACCTTATAACAAAAAAAGTGCATCTAATATCAAAAACAGTACACCTTATAGCAAAAACAGTACACCTTATAGCAAAAACAGTACACCTAATATCAAAAACAGTACACCTAATATCAAAAACAATACACCTAATAGCAAAAACAGTACACCTAATAGCAAAAACAATACACCTAATAGCAAAAACAGTACACCTTATAGCAAAAACAGTACACCTTATAGCAAAAACAGTACACCTTATAGCAAAAACAGTACACCTAATATCAAAAACAATACACCTAATAGCAAAAACAGTACACCTAATAGGCAAAACAATACACCTAATAGCAAAAACAGTACACCTTATAGCAAAAACAATACACCTAATAGCAAAAACAGTACACATAATAGCAAAAAAAGTACACCTAATAGCAAAAATGTCCTGTAATAAGAAAATGGCATTTATAACAAAGATGAAGCAACAATGAAAAGAAGGTTTATAACTTACAGTTTCTTTATTGAGAATGTGTTCATATTATTTTAAAAAGAGGCACAGAGGGCCTGTATCGCTCACCTGGATATCTTAGCAATTATGGCAAAATATTCTCCAAATGAGATCCAAGGGAATATGTAGCATATCTGTATTAGATTGTTCATGCCCAGCAAATTTATGTATGGTTATGTGGTGGGAATCTCAACTGTTTCCAAGCTGTGACTCAGAAACAAGGTCCCTAGGGTTGTGACCAGACCCCAGGATCAATTCTAATATTATGACTGCAGTTGTCTCTTTATGCCCAACAATTGTATATATAGTTTTGGGGTTGGGATCTAAACCATTTCGAAGTTATGACCCAGGTATTAGGTCTCCAAGGGTGGGGCAGACCCCAAGGCCATCCTGGAAGCATATGTCCCTTCATCTCTTTATACTCAGCAATTGTATATAATATGGTCATAGGATGGGGATCTCAACTGTTTCCAAGCTGTGACTAAGAAACTAGGTCCGTCGGGGTTCAGTCAGACCCCAGGGTCTATTCTAATATCATGACTGCATTTGTCTCTTTATGCCCAGCATTTGTATACGTAATTTTGGGGTGGGGATCTCAACCGTTTTAACGTTATGACCCATGGACTATGTCTCTAAGGGTGGGCCTAGACCCTCGGGCCAAATTGGAACCAAATGTGCATTCTTCTCTTTATACTCAGCAATTGTATATATGGTTCATACAGTGTATATCTAAACCAAGTAATACACTTTTTTGACCCCATTCCTTCGAGCCCACCATTTGTACAATTTTAATTCCTGCCTACAATGAATGCTTTTGATCAATTATGATTTATATCCAGTGCATATTTCTACAGAAAAAGTCGTTTATAGCAATATAGCCAAATTGCCCCCTTTTGGCACCGCCCCTCAGCACCCATGGGAGTCAGCCCCACCATTTGTACAATTGTGAATCACCACCACCTCAGGGATGCTTCCAGTCAAATATGAATGATATCCATCACTTGGTTCCAGAGACGAAGTCGCTTAAAGCAATATAGCCAAATAGCCCTTTTTGGTCCCCGCCTCTCAACCCCCTGGGGGCTCAGCCCCACCTTTTGTACAATTTTGAATCCCTACCACCCAAGGATGCTTCCAGTCTTATATGGTTGATATCTATCTCTTAGTTCCAGAGAAGAGGTCGCTTAAAGCAATATAGCCTAATTGCCCCCTTTTGGTCACGCCCCTCAGCACCCTGGGAGGTCAGCCCAACTATTTGTACAATTTTTAATCCCCGCCACCTAGGGATGCTTCCAGTCAAATATGGTTGAAATCCATCACTTAGTTCAAGAGAAGAAGTCGCTTAAAGCAATATAGCCTAATTGCCCCCTTTTGGCCCCGCCCCGTAGTCCCCTGGGGGGTCAGCCCAACTATTTGTACAATTTTGAATCCCCACCACCTAGGGATGCTTCCAGTCAAATTTAGTTAAATTCCAATCGGTGGTTAAGAAGGAGAAGTCGTTTAAAGCAATTGTTGACGTACAGACGAAGGACGACGGACGGACGACGGACGCCACGGTATGGCATAAGCTCCCCTTGGTCCTTCGGACCAGGTGAGCTAATAAAAAATTACTTATACTTCATGTATAGCAAAAGAAATAACTTATCCTACTGACAGTTAAGATAAGATAATACCAAATTAACATATAGTGTTGCCATTATCCCTATTATAAAGGAAGTGCTTCATCAATTTTCTCCAAAAATAAAAATAAATCTATTTCGGCGATAAATTTTAACAAAATCATAGTTGTAAGAAATTTATATAGCTGAAACTAGAAAATAAATATTAAAAACAAAGATGTATTGCAATATGTAACAATAACCGACGATTTAAATAAACAAATACTTAACCTGTTCCTTTTTCCTTGTGTTTGTGTATTTCATTCACTTCTTGGATACCTTCAAGATATGAAAGACGAAACTGTTAAAATCGGAAATTTGTTGCACTGCGGATAATTTCGCAGTTTTCGCGAATACGAATCTGCGTTGAAATATGCGCGCCCGATCATACATTTCTGTGTTTTATTGTGTCTCCATTTCGATATTCATATACCGCAAAAAGTCTATCGAATAAAATCTCAAAAGTTTCCATGTGCGAGAAATTTCAGTTTTATTCCACCTTTTATAAATACTTCAAAAACAAACTTTGTAAACATAAATGTATCTATAAAAGCATGTATGTTAATATTGCGAATAGCCTGCATAATTACCTGGCTTTAAACAATTTTCGATATCTTTTTCCTTCTTCGATGAAAGACTCCTGTGAAACCCTTGACACCAAAAGGGGCACCTTATTAAGCTTAAGTATCTGTTTTAGCCAGAAATTTTGAATTTGTAATTTCATAAATGGTTAAAAGGCGTTTTTCCTTTTCGCTGTATTCTACTCGGAGCACTTAACACATAGATTTTTCATCCTGTTAACCTTTAGTGTTACTGATTGGTCCTAAATGGACAAAAGGCCATGTAGTGAAGTAAAATAGTTATTTTGTTGGGCTTTCTGCATCAATAATCAAAATGTTTAAATAAGTCCTTTTTTCGTATTTTATTGATTTTATTCAAATTAATCATATATTTTGTTATTTAATACCTTTTTTGGCGTTGCATCTATTTAATGAGTCACTTTGTTGACACAAGTCTTATCTATTATACTTTTTTATTACTAATTTTGCATTGCAAGTCATTACCTTTCACAAGTCTGCCTTTTAGTTTCCAATAGATGACCGTAAAGCCACATATCATGCACAGAATCAGGATCATCGAAGTCACGAGGGCGAGGAAATACAGATTGCTGGTTTTAACAAAACACAAGATAGTATTTATAATACCAATGCATACATTGTTAATTTCAATTAAGAAACAGTCATTATATCACTTATAAAGAAAATTGAAAATATAGTATAAAACAATTTGTATACAGAGTAAACATTTATATTACATCACTGATATAAGAAAGAAAAATTTTACAGTATTAGTGCAAATACATATATAATTTATCAATAAAATAACATATACATCATATATATATCAAAAACATAATGTTACCGTTTTAATGCTAATAAAGGGAGATCCTTGAGAGAACATATGTTTTTCCGACTCACACAGCATATGGTTAAACTTGTCGGGCGATATTTATCGCAAGTCAATTATTTCGACATCCTTTTACATTCGTCTGTTCTCTACGTTGTCAAATATTCGTACGCTAGAATGTTTTGTGCTATACACTCTATCACATTATCACTCCATTCCTAAGAAGCATTTTATTTGGAACAGCGGCCCGTCCTTGATCGAGCTACGAAAAGCTAGAGAACCGAACGATACTGATGATATCACATTGGAGTTTCAAAAAGCTGGATACTGCAATCAATTTAGATTTATCGGAATTTTTCTTATCGGTGCACTGGTCATGAACCGGCTCAATATCGTCCTAGTTGTCTTTGAGTCGTATAGGACGGCTGTTGAATAAGATATATGTGTTTTGCAGTATTAATGTCAGTATATGTATAGTACGTGAACTCGTTTGGTATTACATACAGTCGATTGCTATAAAACACTTCCTTTTCGCGTCATTATCTCGGATGTACCCCAAACAAATTATTTGCTTGTTTTATTAGTTTCGGAAAAGAGTGATATTTGAAACTTTCTTGATTAAAAATGGAACAAAAATAATCCTATCTGGTATAAATTTACAAAAACATGTAACTGTTAGGTCTTAGAAGTTGAAACGTTTGCCGTTGTGAAAACAACGCAAATGCGAAAAGGGTCATGAGTAAGTAATTTGAAGAGTCGAAAACATTACATTACCCAAGCGGCCCATCGAGCTTGTATCGCCCATCTGTTTCTGTAATTATAATCTTTTCCCACCTTGGGGGTAAGACAGAAAAATCTCAACCTGAACGGTATGATTCTCTAATGTCTAGCCTGCGGTTTTCCCGAGGGCCAGAAATTTACGAATCTTACCCGAGGTTAAGAATTTGAATGTATTACCCCTAAAGTGGGGAATGAATATTTTCAACCACATCAAATACCAGCGGATAATTCATTTTATAATTCCGAGTAGGTCGGAGTTATCTTCCGCGATATACTATTGTTGACGTGACGTCAATCCATTGTTGACGTTACGTCATGCAATTGTCATGACATGGGATTCCCACGTCTGTACCCTAGGGTAACACAGAGATATCCTAACCTGACTGGAAGTGCCGATATGTCTGTCTAAAAATGAGAAAAATATGTCTCCATCAATCTTTTATCTTTTAAATTGATCACAAAAAAACCATCTGTCACATGATAGGACATTATCATAGTTTGGGTCTATCATTTGCATTAACAATTGCTGAATGTTAAATCCCAATTTTTCTTATTGAGGTTTAGCCTGGCCTGATACTGCACAAAGAATCCGCTGCCTTCGTTTATACAACAGTTTTAAATCATTTTAACTGTCTTTTCCACCATCAAAGGAAATCATAGGGAAAACCACTTTTTTGTTACCTCAGCTCTCCGCCGGCTTTCGAGTGATGCTGATCAGTCTTGTCTTGATGTTGCAGTGGGTTGTCAATGACCTCTTCTAAAACAAATGTTTACTTTCCATCATATCTTTTGAATTAAAAACAAGAAAAACTAATTTTGTTTTTATAAATTTGGAATTCAATCAATTCGTATGTAAAATGCTGAAATCAACATCTCAAATTATTACTAGTAAGATTGATAAATTGAAGCATCATTGAAAATTTGCACAATACAGAAGCTGTTGAAGAATCAATAAAATATCTTTTACTGTATAATTCATTTGGAACGTCTTACAAAAACTCTACAACTTGGATTTACCTTTGGAGACAGTCTGTTCGGCTTTAGTAAGGCAATCTCCTGTTTCGCATTTCAAGGTCAAAGCAAACGTGTTTGCTGTTGGATACAAACTCGGCTCACTCTTCGTAGTCTGAAGCCGTTTCCCGCAGACAGTATCAGCAGTTGAATTACCTACCTTCAAAGTTTCTCTGCCATGGGTTTCACAACTTTAAAACAAAAGAATATATTTTCTTTTGATAATGTACTTATACAGTTTCTTATGCAGATACAGAATAATTCACAAAAGTATCAGAACAAACTTTGAATAATAAGCCACATGCACAAAAGAGAATATCGGTTGTCATTGCCTTAAGCAAATGGTTTTGCGGAACTGTCACATGACATATGTTTGCTAGCAAATTATTGTTATTAAGCATACACCTCCACTTAGCAATGGAGCATGTTTTGAATATAGTTGCTTTACCTTTGTATAATTGCAAAGACTTGCAGATTTAATACCTGGTCCATGGTTTGCAGAACTCGTAGCCAGTAGTGTTTTTACAGGATCCCGACGGGCATGGTATGCATCTACCGCCTTAGTAACAAAAACAATAACACCATGAGAAATATCTTCTATGACATATGTAAATATACGGTACATTCTAAAACAAACCTTGATGTTTGTTATTTTATCCTATATGTAGCAGTAGATTTAAGAATAATTAAAATAATTTGAAATTCCTCTATACCGCTTTATCGCAACCCATTTCGTAGATCGTCTCAAAGCGGTTCACATATTATTATCCATGGTTATAGGGCCTTTGCAACCAGCCAATATCTTTCTCAACTCACTGGGGAGCATGCATGCCGGTGCTGCCATTTCGATGCTCACAGCTAGCATTCAACTTTTCTAGCACTGCCCAACCACGTACTCATTTACAGCTGCGTAGACTGGAACAAGCGAAGTAAAGTAGCTTGCACAAGGATGCCATGACGTAGACGTTGGAATGTTAAGTATCAACAAAAACTTTAAAAAAATATGGAATACATAAGTCTTTAAAAAACGTCAATCAAAATATACGTCCAAAAATTTTATCCACGACCCGCTCATGTTCTCTCAAGTTATCATACTTGTATTGGCGAGTTCCCGTTCGGGTGGACAGCTATTGACTTTAATGCATAGCGGGTCCTCTCCAACATATCCGTTTGACAGGTCACATTCACAGCGGACTACTTTTCCATTTTCCACAACAGGCGTAGTTTCTTTAGAAAATAAAAAGGACTGGTGTTATTTTGTTTTGTTAAACGCCCTGTTTACAGCTGATGTAATTTAAGGGGGGAACACTGAATGTTATTTCTGATGAAATACTGTTGAATCCAAATGACATCAAATTGAACCATTCTATTATCAACTCACTGTGTCAAATGGTAACACCTTATTTTGTATTAACAATACTTTTAAATGTCACTCGACCCTGGACGTTTCGCCTGCCGATAGGGAGCGTAATACACACTGCATCAGATTGGTTACAGGTAGGGTGTAGATCGTCACATCGTTGCATAGGTAAAAAATACAAATCAGTCATAGCTTGACAAAGGACCAGTCAGCCTTGAAACATTGCGACATGTTTAACACGTACATTGTTTGTGTAGAAAGTAAAACTTTGATTACATATTTCCAAACTGATGAATCTTATTGAATATTTTCGCCTCGACCTTATGTGTTACACTGCTCAAGTTGAGCAAAGTTTTTAAATACTTGGTGAAGGCCAATAAATTCGCACATCTCACCTTGATGAGAGAACCCTATGTACAGTTTTGGGTCCAAAATCCCCCAAATACTTGGACGATAACCAATACACACTGACGTCATTGTATGTTTTATGCATTCAATCAAAAATTATCTAACCTCGAGATTTACTTAAAACTTGTCCAGCTCACGGACAGAATGCTCCGATGAACTTTCCGCGAAAATGACTTGAAAGAGTGCTTGTAAATCTGTCCTATGCTCATGTCATGTTTTGACGAGGTATGTCGATAGATAGATTGAAGTAAACATCTGGTATATATCTAACGCCAGTGTTAATCGCTTACCGTCTGTCGAATTAGGACTCATAAAAGAAAACCGGTCCAAAGATATCGAGTATAATAGACAAAAACGGCCAATCCGCCCTCAGAGTCAGTAATGATAACAAATTTGCATCTTGTTGTGAAGGTAAAACATAAGGGCATCACATGACAAATGTTATTGTGCGTAAAATACAACTTAATCTAAATACATGAAATAGATAGCTCACTTTGCATATCATGGGCGTACATGGACACAAAAGACTTTCAATATTTGTACTTTGTAGAATAGATATCATCAGCATATGTTTGTGAATTATTGTAGTAAATATAACGCGTGAATCGAAAGTGTTGGACAAGCGGCATTTGTTAATTATTTTTGCAGCATTTTCTCATCCTCGTTATATATATTCCACTATAGTTCACTAATGTACATTGATTAATTCCTAAGTGTTCTAAACTGACCTGACATCAGACAAGCGATCTCGACACGCGAGCATTTTGGGATGTCTTCCGTAGCATAGAGAGATCTTGAGTCCACAGCCCTATCTTGTCTGCTACCATAGGGGCACAAATGACAATAGTCGCTCGTTCTGTTCCTTTTGCAAAACGACGCCTCTGCAAAATAACATTGAATCAGATTACGCTAAAAGATAATGATATTATTGTGATACTGCATGATAAGTAAGCATTCAAATGATACATATAGTGTATGTGAATGTTTCTCTCATTCTTGATGCGTTAACACATCTAACAAATGTTATACATAATCGAAGCTGCAAGAAACGCTCTAAATCTTAACACGTGAAATAATAGTATTTTTACCTCAATCCATTAAAACCAAGGTGTGCTTCTCTTCAATTATCACTGAAAAGCTACCACAATATTAATGTAACCATGATTTTCCTCGAAATAAATTTCAGTGTGTGCTATTATTAGGGACTTTTAAACGGTACATACTCCACTGAGGTACTTCCTTAGCGAGGACGATTCCAAACCAAACACTCACGATCGTTCTTGCTACCGAACATATCGCATGATTGGACGAAGAATATCATAAAGAAAACCTCGTGACGAGCCAGACAAACCAAATTTGCATGAGTATCTGGGCCCATATTTGTGAAACCGTTCTCATGCACAAGCATGGGCTCTGAGCTCAAACCAGCTTTCTAGACACTCGCTTAAATTCTCTGACACGGTAAACATGTCAAGAGGAAACATTTGAAACAGTTTTCTGCTTGAAATCTCTTCAAAATTCCTCCGAATCACGGTCAAAAATGTTATAGTTTTCATTTATTTACCACTGGATGTAGAAATTCGGCCTTGGAATTTAAGCATGAGAACGGTTTTATGAATACGGACCCTGGTTTTGATTCTCTTTTTCCACGGGATGTCATGCTGAAGTACATTTTGTTTTGCTGTACCATGTTCGGTTTGTGTCCTGGTATATATCGAGGATTTATTAATTCGAAGAAAAGTACCTGCTAACTAGATCTGTTGATAAAATCTTGTTCGAGCTTATTCGCATGTGCCATTTGCAAATGTATGGGTAAATGTGCAAACCAACTAGTACACATTCATACACAATATATTGTCAGTGTCCATCCACCTGTGACAGAAGTGAGCACACCACGATTGCAATCAGACAAGGAATATCAAATTCCTAGGTACATTGTCAAACTGATTTTCCATATATGAATATATATATACATGTGTGCATAATGGGATATTTGATCCCCTATCTGCGGGAATCGTATCTCAAATTTCCGATGCTTTTGTTATTGTGTTAAAATAATATAAATAAACATACATTTCAAAGTTTTAAAAAACCAATAGATTGGAACTTTACACTACTGTTCCCGCCGCTATTACGTCTTTACCTTCAAATAGCGAATATGTAGTTCACGCTTATGTGCGTGTAAACGCCAAATATGTATTTCCTGCACAACTAACTTCGGAGGAAAATCATTATTTATTTTTAATTTCTGTATCACTGATTCAAAACGTTAATGTACCGTTGCGTTATTGTTAAGCATAATATGCACAAACTGTTGTATTGATACGTATTCTAAAATTCATTTCAATGAGAAAATGAATGGAAATATGTATTTCATAACTACACCCATACAATACAGCAGAAACGAAATATAAGGGTTAAAAAGGACCCTAGCACACCAGGAAGTATATTGATCGTACAGTCAATGAATGTATTTTATATTTACACACTAAATTAAAAAGAAAATTGAGCATTTACATATGGTCTATACAAAGTGTTAATACCCTTGTATTACATGTCACCAAATACGTGCGTGACTTTTCCTTAATGAATGTATTCTATATTTACACACTAAATGAACATATGGTCTAATACAAAGTGTAAATATCCTTGTATTACGTGTCGCCAAATACGTTCGTACAGTTGATAGATAATCTATTGATCTTTCCACGAAACAGTGTTACGCAGCGATGTCATTGTTGATAAGAAGGTTGTCAATGTCGATAAAGCTTGCACAATTGTAATTCAAAATACACCTGGCCTCCTGGTTGTTCATTTGTTGGTTAAAAATAACCAAGTGTTAGGGTGGAAGTTTAAAATTAGAATACAACAAAATCAAGAACATGTGATATCATTCACTAATACTGATGTGTTTTGAGGATTTATTTCGCTTTAAACCACCCTGCTTTTTTTTGGTAACGATTTGAATTTTTCATTTACCTTTCATTAAAGTTAACAATACCTTCCCTCAATTCAAAAATATGTCAAAATAAAATGACATTGAATAAATTGATTTAATTAAATATTAACAAATAGATCTTTTTGATGATTTTCATTCTTTCTTTGATCTGGCTGATCTTGTCAGCAGAATAACGTCACATAAGATACAAGTGTTTCTCAACAGGGAAGACTTTAAGGACGTGCTACTACATGAACATATAGAAAACCAGGAAGTCTGAGTATATGTACAATATACCTAATATTCTTTGTTATCAAAATATAAACCCGTGACCTGCATACGCCCATGCATGTTCAACCAGGTTTAAGTACATACTTACGAAATCCTACTCGGCATACTACAGGGTAACAAGAAACATGTTTTCCTAACAAACGATGAATAACCAGATCGATCGAGCCTGCTGTCAAAACCTGTAATTACAATTAATTCAAAACTGTTACTAACACAGCACAACTGAATCGTATTATTGATACCACGCATTATAGAATGTAAACATAAATATATACGTGCTCTCTCGTGATACATAAGAATATGGGACAGTAAATATAAAGTGTGGTGCGATCGCTGACTATACAGAACTGATGTCATACTTACAAGTAGTGATACCACAAAGATACGCAGTACCAATGACGCCATTTTGATTTGAAATACAAATAATTCAAGTAAAAATAACTAGTACAACATTTGGTATAGCTATAATTAGAAAAGCTAAGGCCGGGAAATCCCTCCTTTTAACCGCCAAGCGCTGGTCGATCGGCTAGGCAGGCGCGTCAATTTGAATTTAAATGTAACAGTTAACGGCGGGTGGCTACCAGACATAAGATGGTGATTGAACCCGGTTTGTGTAAATACTTTAGTTATTTATTATAATATTCGTCTTTTGAATCATAGAGGGGCCTCAAATGATTGACAAATGTACAGGTCGGGCTCGATGTTTCATTTCCCCGATGACGTTTGTTATATATTTGTTCAGACACAGATGATCATGCAATTGACAATTACTCACACATAAGTAACATAGTAACATGTAAGATATCACTTAGTGCTGTTTCAGATAATACAACAATTGCATAGGTATTACATAAGTATTACATAGCTATAACATAGGTATTACATATGTATTACATAGCTATTACAAATGGTATTACATAGATATCACATTGGTTTTACATAAGTATTACATAGCTATTACATAGGTATTACATAGCTATTACATAGGTATTACATAGGTATTACATAGCTATTACATAGGTATTACATATGTATTACATAGCTATTACATATGTATTACATAGATATTACATTGGTATTACATAAGTATTACATAGCTATTACATAGGTATTACATAGCTATTCATAGGAATTACATATGTATTACATAGCTATCAAATAAGTATTACATAGCTATTACATAGGTATTACATAAGTATTACATAGATATTACATTGGTATTACATAGATATTATATTGGTATTACATAAGTATTACAAAGCTATTACATACGTATTACATAGCTATTACATTGGTATTACATCTCTATTACATAGGTTTTACATAGATATTACATTGGTATTACATAAGTATTACATAGCTATTTCATAGGTATTACATAGATATTACATAGCTATTATATAGGTATTACATAGGTATTACATATCTATTACATAGGTATAACATAGCTTTTACGTAGGTATTACATAGCTATTACATAGCTATTATATAGGTTTTACATAGGTATTACATATCTATTACATAGGTATAACAGAGCTTTTACATAGGTATTACATAGCTATTACATTGGTATTACTTCTCTATTACATAGGTTTTACATAGATATTACATTGGTATTACATACATATTATATTGGTATTACATAAGTATTACAAAGCTATTACATACGTATTACATAGCTCATACATTGGTATTACATCTCTATTACATAGTTTTTACATAGATATTACATTGGTATTACATAAATATTACATAGCTATTACATAGGTATTACATAGCTGTTTCATAGGTATAACATATGTATTACATAGGTATTACATATGTATTACATAGGTATTACATAGATATTACATTGGAATTACATAAGTATTACATAGCTATTACAGAGGTATTACATAGATATTACATTGGTATTACATTATTATTACATAGCTATTACATAGGTATTACGTAAGTATTACATAGCTGTTACATAGGTATTACATAGCTATTACATAGGTATCACATAGGTATTTCATAGGTATCACATAGCTATTACATAGGTATTACATAGATATTACATAGCTATTATATAGGTATTACATAGGTATTACATATCTTTTAAATAGGTATAACATAGCTTTTACATAGGTAGTACATAGCTATGACATAGCTATTATATAGGTATTACATAGGTATTACATATCTATTACATAGGTATAACATAGCTTTTACATAGGTATTACATAGCTATTACATAGCTATTATATAGGTATTACATAGGTATTACATATCTATTACATGGGTATAACATAGCTATTACATAGGTATTACATAGCTGTTTCATAGGTATAACATATGTATTACATAGGTATTACATAGATATTACATAGCTATAACATAGATATTACATAGCTATTACATATGTATAACATAGCTATTACATAATTATTATATAGGTTTTACATATGTATTACATAGCTAGTACATAGGTATTAAAGCATACAGCTATCAAAATCCACATATACAGTATGCATATCACGATAAATATAGCATACATACATTCATCCATCCATCCATCAATATCCCGCCAGCCATCCAGCCATCCATCTACATTCACCCATCCCATCTTATCCATCCATCCATCCATCCCATCCATTTATTCATCGATCCATGTGTATGTATCATGTATATGTATATACATGGTAGTTGATACTGCGATGTACATGTGAATAACCTGATTTAATCTGAGGAATCCTTCGGATAAGGTTAACTAAAAACAGATCACGAAATCCTCTTGATTTACTAAAATGGCAAAAAAAGGAAAAAGTGGAAAATGTTCCCTATCGGATATCACAACTAATAATTTAGAGGGCGGTTACCATGGCATCAAAATCTAAATATTGAACTTGATTGAGCAAATATTTTTATCATAGAAATGTATCATTCAAGTAAGTAACAACAACCTACTGATAGCAAATTCAATAAATATATGTACTTTAAAAACTTATATACTATATAGATGCAGAGCACAGGTGAAAATAATACTTTATTAATATTTGAAAATTTTAAATAGGTATAAAGTTAATGAGTCATTTTCTTGTTGTACACTAATGTTTAAACAATGCTTAAATGGCGTACACATGGCCTTTTGTGGCGTTCCGATTACAAATTTAATCTTAAATAACATATTAACTGTGTTAAAACATATAAATGATGTATACTTGACATTATATTCTGCACATGTTAATTACATGCAGTGTATTACCTCAAGCGATCACAGTAATGAAATGGTCAGGAGACCAAAATAAAGATAAATCATAACCAACACGCTCCTCACCAATATCGCAATTTCGATCCCCTACCTCAAAATACCATAACACAGAGTCCCCAAGAGATCATGAACTCAATGCGTGACGAGATGACATAAACAGGTGGTCGGAAATAGATTGTTTTCCTGTCATTGTTCCATGGCAAATTTTGGTCATTTTTCGATGACGCCGGGGTCGTATTTTGTCCCGGTGGTATTTTTTATCCTTCTGTGCTGACACTTAACTGACTTTTTTGTTCTTCTGTGTCACCATCATGACTATTTTGTAATAATTGCACGGTGCGGTGGATTTGTCATTGTTTGTTGGCACAGGAAAGAAAGACTTTCGTAATTGATTGTTCACGATGAAGTAAATTTTTCCCTTGTTTGTTGACGTTTTATCCCATTGCAATGACATGATTGTCTGTTCTGTCTTTGGTTTTGTCATTGTGTGCTAACACTGTGTTATATTGTCATTGTCTGTTGACACTGTGTTATATTTTCATTGTTTATTGACACTGTGTTATACAGTCATTGTCTGTTGACACTGTGTTATATTTTCATTGTTTATTGACACCGTGTTATACAGTCTTTGTCTGTTGACACTGTGTTATAGTGTGATTGCCAGTTGACACTGTATTATAGTGTGATTGTCTGTTGACACTGTGTTATATTGTCATTGTCTGATGACACCGTGTTATATTGTCATTGTCTGATGACACTGTGTTATATTGTCATTGTTTGTTGACATCGTGTTATACTGTCATTGTCTGTTGACGCTGTGTTATAGCGTCATTGTCTGTTGACACTGTGTGATATTGTCATTGTCTGTTGACACTGTGTTATATTTTCATTGTCTGTTGACACTGTGTTATATTGTCAGTTTCTGTTGACATTGTGTTTTATTGTTATTGTCTGTTGACATTATGTTAGATTGTCATTGTCTGTTGACACTGTGTTATATTTTCATTGTATGTTGACATTGTGTTATATTGTCAGTGACTGTTAAAACAGTGTTAAACTGTTTTTGTCTGTTGACACTGTGTTACATTGTCATTGTCTGTTGATTTTGTGTTACATTGTCATTGTCTGTTAAAACTGTATTATATTGTCATTGTCTGTTGACATTGTGTTATATTGTCATTGTCTTTTGACACTTTGTTACAGTGTCATTGTCTGATGACATTTTGTTATATATTATCATGATATGTTGATTATTTGTTTTATTATCGTTATTGACATTGTGTATTATTTTCATTGTCTGTTGACACTGTGTGATATTGTCATTGTCTGTTGACACTGTGCTATATTTTCATCGTCTGTTGACACTGTGTTATATTGTCATGATCTGTTGACATTATGTTATATTGTCATTGTTTGTTGTCACTGTGATGTATTGCCATTGTCTGTTGACACTGTGTTATATTATCATTGACTGATGACACTGTGTTATATTATCATTGTCTGTTGACTGTGTGTTATATTTTCATTGTCTGTTGACACTGTGTTATATTATCATTGTCTGTTGACACTGTGTTATATTATCATTGTCTGTTGACTGTGTGTTATATTTTCATTGTCTGATGACAATGTGTTATATTGTCATTGTTTGTTGACACTGTGTTATATTGTCATTGTCTGTTGTCACTGTGATGTATTGCCATTGTCTGTTGACACTGTGTTATATTGTCATTGTCTGATAACACTGTGTTACATTGTCATTGTTTGTTGACACTGTGTTATATTGTCATTGTCTGCTGACACTGTGTTATATTATCATTGTCTGTTGACACTGTGTTATATTATCATTGTCTGTTGACACTGTGTTATATTTTCATTGTCTGATGACACTGTGTTATATTATCATTGTCTGTTGACACTGTGTTATATTATCATTGTCTGTTGACACTGTGTTATATTATCATTGTCTGTTGACACTGTGTTATATTATCATTGTCTGTTGACACTGTGTTATATTATCATTGTCTGATGACACTGTGTTATATTATCATTGTCTGTTGACACTGTGTTATATT